ACGTAAACACCCTTTAGGTTTTCATTATGAACCCACGTTTTTCTTCCTGACTTCTCATAACCAGTTCTGTGAAGTAATGAGCAGCAGAAATGAACGGACTCGTTCTCCCTTTCCTGATGATCTTCAGTCAGTGACTAGAGTCGGGATATTTTAAACATTTCATGGTCTTTGAAGAAAGTACCTAGTCGCAAAGATTGCTGTAAATAGGTCTGCTGTTGAAGCAAAGGTATCTGTTTCAGAGGCCTTGTTCCAGTCATTACAGCTCCTGCCACCCAGCGACACTTTTACAGATTCCATGCCTTGGTGAACTCTAGATAATTCTGCTCAGTAGGCAGCTGTTCTCACTCAGTGTAGGAAGGAGGCACTTCCTGACGCCTCAGCAGAAAGCCTGCAGTAGCTGCAAGGCTGGGCTCCTTATAAGTGCGGCTTGTGACTGGTGTGGTATTAAGTTTGGTAATAGGAGATGTGACAAACTATGCCCATGTAAGGGTGTGACTAGTGGAGTTTTCAGCTGAGCATTGTATGCCGGCCTCTTTTCTGGTAGTAAAGCCGGCTGCTTCTAAGGCATGGTGCACAAGTCCAGGAAACGTCTCCTGTGCACTTCCTCTTGGGTGTAGCCACAATGATCCCATTAAGGGCTTTTCTTAAAAGCTTTTCATCACTTCCTGGAGGTCTTTATCATGTGTAAATCCAGAGGAACAGGTAACACTAAGAAATGATGAAATCCTGGGCTTCCAATTCTGAGGTCTACAAACAACAGAAACTGGAAGGTGGCAAACTACAGAGGATGCCCAAGTTTGCTATCTCCAGGCTTCCCAGGACTGTGATTCTCAGTTTACACAACTCCTAGTAGTTGGGTGAGAAGTTCCACAGTAGAATAGGCAGCAGAGACAGGGGAAATACTAAAAAAAAAAATGGAAAAGGATGAGGAGTTGAACCTATTAAATGCAAGAAGACATGAAGAACCCGGACATCATATCTCAGGCGTTAAAAGTGGTCCACAGGTTTGCAAAGCTTCTAGAGCCAAAGAAAGCCTGACATGTCATAGCATGGATAAGATCTGCAGGCATTGTGCAATGAAATAGGCTACTAACAGAGTGACAAACAGGATTTTATTCCACCTATATGAAATATGTGTACTGATAACCATCATAGAGACAGATGGTTCTGATGCTGCACACACGTGAGTCCAGCACTGGAGGCAGCTAAGGTTTCAGGCTGACCTGCTTCATAAAAACAGAACAATAAGAGCACAATCAGAGAGACAAAGTATAATTACGGTCTATTTGAATTGAGCGAACAGGAATAAAAAGGGAGAGAATCTTGTGATCTTATAGACTTTTGCAATATGAAAACAATGTATACAAACTAATGAGGGTGATGGTTCTGTGACATTTTCATTGTATTCAATACCGCTCAACCGCATGCTTAAAATTGCTAAAATGACAAATTTTGTGATGTGTATTTCTGTTAACCACACATACATGAAAAGAGGAAAAAATAAGAACTGGGGATTCTTATACCCAAAGAAGCCATAACAAGAATGGCGGCACTAAAACTACTCTTGAGAATCCTGCCCCTAAAAATTTGGGTTCTGCAACAGTAGCAACCAGATTCAGGGCCTCCAGCTTTGAAAGTCCAGGTCCTGCTCTGCCTGAGACCTAGCTTAAGTCTCTGGCACTTAAAATCATGAGTTTACTTCTGGGTCTAGAGTTACAATCCTCTGAGATTTGTAAATTGTTAGTCGCCAGATGCTCAAGAACTCAGAGAGGCAGATCCTAAGACAGCCCTTCGTGCCTGTTCCGCTTTGCATCTGAACAGAGCAAAGACGGCCACTACGCTTTTCTGAATGACGGACATGAGAAGGACGAAGAAAGGGGGAAACTATGCACAGGCTGAGCTTGTAGAATTCAGTCTGGGTGAAGCAAATATAATGTAAAAATCTTTGGGCTTTCAGTCTGGGTTTGCAACTCACCAAGTCACTAAGAACTCCACACTTCCCAGAGTGGCTGGGTGGACTTCATTAAACCAATAGAGAAAACTAAGATGGCACAGACTTATTAAACCAAGTACCGTGAATGGGGTATTGTTGGACACAAAGCAACACATTTATCTACCCTGCATACTTATCATAAGTTTCTCCCAGTTGAAACTTTGTGTCCTCTAACCAGTGCCGCCTGTCCTCAGAGCTGCAGTCTGGAAGCCAGCTCTCCACTCGACAATCTTGATCCCTGGGTTGGGGTTTAAGGTTGAACCTAGTTTCCATGTGACCCTCCTATCCTAGGCCAAACTAGTGTGTATGCTTTGCTGAAATGTCAAGCTTAATTGATATCTTGTGTCAAGCGATTATATTTTATCCACAACAAAATATCTACTTTCCAAGAAAATTTTAGACAATAAAATCTTGCGGTTTAGAAGAATATGTTTTTTCATTTTTATCTCATACAACTGTGTTCATGTGTGATTTTGTGGGATGACAGGGCTGTTCCGAGAACATGCAATAAAGAGTGTAGTCATGTAGCGAGGGTCGTGTTCAAACTAGATGCCCGAGGAACTGCTGTCAGTGTACGGCTGCAAACGCTGATTGTGCGAAGGCTCAGTTTGATGAATTCTAAGATTATCAAGAAAATTATTATGAAAGAGGACATGAAACTAATTGTTTTTCTGGTTCTAACTCTACCATAGATTTTTTTTTGATTTGGTGGTAAATAAGTACATAAAGATACATTTGATAATAAAAGTATAAAATCCAAAGTAAAGCTCCTCAGCTTCAGAGTGACTATTCTAACTGTAGAGAAGTCCATTGAGATGTGTAGACTCTGGATATCGTTAATTTCAGTATGTAAAGTTTTTATTTCCAAATTTTCATAACAGAGTTAATTTATTTTTTTATTTATTTAAGCATTTTCCTTCAACTAAACATGCAAGACATTTACAAGAATATTATACAATTATGTATATGAAAAAGTAACATTTAATCAGAACATATTGGAATCATTGTGCCTGTCTTTCGTTATCAGAGATTTTTCAGTAATTACTACAACTGCCACCTTCTTACTTTTATTTAATATTTTGTGCAATAAGTATCTGAGTAGTGTATTTCCCAGTGCTTTGCATGTGGAATTGATCCATCAAATTAAAACATCTTTAGTTAGTTGCTGCAAAGTCTTTGGGAAACATTAATAGTGTAGTCGGCATTCCCTTTATCTTTTGTTAGCACAAATAGAGATCTCCAGGCAACGTAGATCCACTGAGATCGTGACCACAGAAGGCTTTCACAAGGAATTTCATAATGTTCTAAGTATTCATGTATCAGAATCAGGAACTGTTGCAGACTGCTAATGATGACTGGGCTAATTTTGTGCTCTCAGAGGTATTAGACTTTCAGCCCAAGAAAAGGCGTTGCGGGTGTCACTGGCAGGCTTCTTACCTCGTAATTAGGAACACCAGCATGACAGTGTGCTTCTGCAATGCTTGCTGAGATAAAGCTAATTATTGTGCTGTTTTCTCTCCCTCCTTTCTTGCACTTCATTGATTTTTTTAGGTTATAAAAGAAAACCATGGTTTTTTATAATTCAGTTGATTACAGAGCATCATAAGTTCAGCATTGCATGCACAGTTGGGAATATTTTAGATTTCTTATGATATGAAAATCCTGACCGTGGCAGTCATGCCTTGGATACCAGCTATTGTCTGACATTGGAATAAGTTAAGTATTCTCATTCAACCTCTTAAAAATAAAAATAGTAAACTTCAAATTAAGCTTTTATATTTTAGTCAGTTTAAAGGCTTTTTTTTTAAATAAAGAAAAAAATAAGTAGGAGCCTAAGCGCAAGGGAAATCCAAGTGTGCTTTCAAACATGTGTGAGAAAGGTTAGAAAAATAACTGCTTGAGAATTTACACCTAGCCTACAGTCTTGGGATATGGACCTTCAGTTAGACACTGGAGCCATTCAGTGCATCTACTCCTTCCTGGAAATAGACTTGATGTACTCTTTTACTGGAAACACAGGTCCCATTTTCTATCAAGTATATCGCATTATCATTATGTTCCTTTCCTTCCCTGTGACCCCCAAATTAAGCTATTTTGTGTCTAATTGAGCTAAAATGTAAAATATGGATCAGAGACAAAATTACCAGGTATGAGGTAACATCATTTTAGGGGTGAGATACCAATCCCATAAGGAGAAAACATTTCTGTGTACATATGTGTATGTATGGCCACCTAGAAGAAAAACTGTGTTCTCAGTAGTCTTGTAGCCCCTGAGTTGACATGAGTGAAATCACAGGAAAGACTGAAAGTACGTCTCTGCTGTGATGGCCTCAAGAGGTTTTCCCAACAGCACAGTTGGAATGTTCCCTTTACTCTCTGTTTTCTCTCCCTTCCTTCCTGGAGCTCACAAGTCCTCCAGTCAGACAAAAGAAAAAAAGCTCAGCAGCTCAAGAGTACAGGAACCATGTGGCTGGATTTGTGGACAGAACTATCAGACCTGCCCAGAAAAGCTGCATTCTTCCTCGGTTGATAGGAAACACGGACATGTTTCCTGAAGATGGCTGCATTCTGTCACTCATAAATGACTCTGACCCCAACCTGTACACACTGCACTGAGAACAAAGAGAGAGCCATTCATCTTGGGTATAGTGAAGAGAACCTCCCAAAATAGCTATGATGATTTTTATAGACCATATTTATTTTTAATTAGCATACTCCAGCCTATGGGTCATTCACATATATAAATAACTACATTTTTTATTAGAACCAAATACAAGACTAAACCAAATTGAGCAAATAGGGTCTTATAAGATTTGAATGTTGTTATTTAAATTGTGTTCATGCTTTCAAATAATTTGCATTTGTATATTATTTTACCAAAATGTCATTTGTCTTAATTAATGCACACAATACATCTATGTCTAAAGTTAGTGCTCCAATGAACTCACCACACTTGTAGATGTACTATAAATCTGTGAAACCAAGTCATAATTAAAACATCAAGCACAGCTTTGCACAGTGGCAGTATCATAGCCAATGAGGTTTATCCAAGTTGTGATTATTGCTAATTGAAAATATTAAACATATCCACCATTCTCAAAATGACTCAAATGGAACCTCTGCTCAAGAAGGTGTTAGTAGACTTACATTTAATTTTTTTTTCATTTTTTTTATTTTATTGAGAATAAGAAAAAAAAAGTTTCCGCCTCCTCCCAGCCTCCCATTTCCCTCCCCCTCCCCCCTCTCTTCTCCCCCTCCCCCCACTCCTCTCTCCCTCCCTCTCCTATCCTAAGAGCAGTCATGGTTCCCTGCCCTGTGGAAAGTCCAAGGTCCTCCCCCCTCCAAAATGTCAAATGTCAACTGGATATTCAGCAAAATAATCCTTTATAAATGAAAGAGAAATGAAGACAGTCCTAGACAAATTCATAGAAGTTATATCTAATCTACATTATAACAAGTAGAAAAGGAAGTCCCTCATTCTCAGGAACATGATACCAAACAGCAGCTCAAATACCACGAAAGAAACAGTGCTCTTGGTAAAGGTCAGATACAAACAGAGGACAGGCTAGCTGGGCTTCCCCTGCTGCCTGTACCTTGGCACTTGAGGCTGAAGTTTGAGGGGTGTAGGCTCACAGTCAATCTGGCTTGCATACTGAGGCCCTGATGAAGACAGACAATTAAACATGCCGACAAACAAAACTATGTATTTTATATATGTATATGAATATATGTATTGTGTGCCTACATCTTGATACCCACAGATTTCTTCCTCTTAATTTAAAAGGTAAGTGTGGTAGTAACAGTGACCAAACTTCGCTGCTTGCTTCATATTCTAAAAACTATGTCCATTACAGAACAAAAAGAGGGAGAAGAGAGTTACTATATAAACTTGAAGAAAAAATAGTTGAATTTTAAACTTAGGAAGGAGCCTTTTATAGTATATTAATTACGTTATCAACTGAGTTAATAAAAATATTATTATGGCCACATTTCTGTGAGAAATCTTTTTACACTTTCACAAAAATGAAGGCATTCTGTGAAGTTCTAGGGTTTTCTTTATTGTCCCCAAGGCAACACAAGAAGAACGCGTGTAACTTATGTTTCTCTGTAACTATTTATGCTTATTTGGTTTCAAAACGTAGATGGAATGGAATTATGAAATGCCAAAGTCAAGTTGGTAGTTGGTGAATGGATGCCTGTATGAATGTTGTCTGAAAATGCAAGGGAAAATGTGGCAAGGAGGCTCCTGACACTGAGGTGAACTTACATCCCCTTAGTGGAAGACATGTCCTGGGACAAGGATGACCAGTGCTGCTTCTGGGTTAGGTCACTCACATTACTGAGGTAAAATTCTCCCTGGAGAGAAAAGCGTGCTTTGTGGCATGAGGTGTTAGAGAACGGTTTCATCCTCAAGTACATGTTTATTAGTAAGATTTGGGCAGAAAATATACTGGAATTTACACAAAACTGCACAGTGCCAAACTGGTGTTTAGAGTTGCTCTTTGCGGTTTTATAAAGTATTGATTCTGATCTATGTTTACATAATGAGCATGAAAGCCAGCTGAGCACTGTAAACACGGTGTAATCAGGAAACGTCTGATTCCAGCTGAACAAGTAAACATGGGATCCAAATCCAAACTGCACGGATTTTTAAAGACTTTCTGACCCAGCATCATGGAAATTTGTGCTTCCAAAACTCGTGGCTCTGACTCATTCTCAAAGGATTCTATGTTCCTCACAACACATGCACGTTTGCTTAAGCATGATTATCTGGAGAATTAAACATGGCTCGATTCAAAAACGGTTTGTATGATGGATTCTTCTGTCTCGGGAACAAATAAGATTGTGTCAGGGGTAATACAAAGGTGGGAATCTTTTACTGATGTTTACTTCTCATATTTTTCAGTACTGAATTTCGAACCTGAGGTTTTATGCATGCTAGGCCAGTGCCTTACCCTGAGATACCTCATCTGCCCTTCACTGGTTCACTTGTTTCTTGGTAATAATATAGCACATTGACGCTTTATATATCTTTAACTTTGACATTGAGCTCCTTATCCATTAGCTGTTTTGTTGATTTTTATTTTAACAGAACGAATGGTGCACGGATGCTCATAGTCTATCAGTTCTAGTATTCACCCATTAGTGTGGTCTTCTTTTCAAACCTTCCCATTTCAAGTGTTTGATAGACTAGGGAACAACCTCTAACACTGAGGATAGAAGACATGACAAGGGTAGTGTGCATGGGCTTTGGTAGCTCATCTGCTGCTCTCCTTTTATCTGTGCAGCAAGAGTTAATCCCCAGCACTGTCTTGACTAAGTCTCTAGTGGTGGGGTACGCACCCGTAGGGATCCTACTCTCTCCACTGCCTGCAGAGAAAAATGGAGGCAAACAACCGCCGAAATAAATGCTGCCTGCGCTAGCCTCCTTGACAGTGCTGCTTTAAGCTGAAATGGTTACTTCATCCTACGTGTGCTCTGAAGACAGCCACCCTTCTCAGAGAACCATTCCTCACCTTTGAAGGCGTAAGTCACGAACAAGGCAACACCAGTTTGGAGTTATGATTAATAGGGTGTTATTTATTTAAAGAGGAAAAACTTACAGATCACAATCCCAGACAACAGCCATCTGCGCAACCAGGAAGGGAGTCTCGTCTCCAGCGGAGCCGTAAGAGAAGAGAGCGAGCAGAGGAAATAGCCGCTTTTTTAAAGGGAGTGAGACCACGCCCCAATGGGCTGGTATCACAGCAGCTATTGGTTGGAGGGGCGGAAAGACCTCCCGCAACACACCTTGTGGGAGGATCCACTCTGTTTGAGCCCAGTGAGTTATGCACACTCAGAAGTTGCAGAGGTGCTAGAGGCAGCACAGCAAGGTGTACGTTCATATCCTTCTCCATGCCTTTTCCTACTTATTCTCCAAACTGTATCTAATACCGAAAAGAGTAAAATATATATTCTTTTATGGTCCTTCTAGCTAAAGATTTGTTCTCTCCACGACTCAGCTCCTTTTAGAGCTGTGTCTACCCAGTACCTTGGAGTTTTCTTGTTATTCTTTCATCTTGTTATTCTTTTGGTTACTAAATAAATTGCCATGAGCCTCAACATCCCTTGGAAATCTAATAACATAACTTTCATTGCCATTAAAATGAGTTATGGTTTGTGAGTAAAATATTTCTATGTTGCCCTAGAGCAGGAGTGTGTGATCCGTTGACTTCTCTGTGCCATGGTGGATAAATTGTCTTATGCCACATATGAAATATGCAAGTAAAAGCTGAAGAGATTTAAAAAAAAAGTCTGCACATAATACTTCTGGTTCCTATCACCACAGAGAACTAATGAGCCCTCACATACTTTATTATAATGACAAAAGCAGGGGCTGGGACATGACTCAGCATTTAACAGCTTGTATTCTTTCAGGGGATTTTGGCTTGATTCCCAGCACCCACATGGTGACTCACAGTTACCTGTCATAAGAGTTCCAGAGGATCTAACACCTTCTGACCTCTGCTGGCACCAGGCACACATGCACATACAAACATGGAGACAGAGCGCTCAGATACACAAGTTAACAGAAGTACATCTTTGAGAAAAGGGGAAGGTAACAAAACTAGAGGGGCATTCGGTATCAGTATCCACTTCCCTAGGAGAAGCTGAGATGCTCAGTGAGTTCTCATTGGGTTCTAACTTCCCTCCACGTGTGCTTTGGCATCGAAAATCAGCTGCTCACAGGCACAAGCATTGCCAAGAAGCAAGGATGTGAGTGAACGTGACTGTGAAGGGGAGGTCTTTGTCTCTGGAAAGACAAGACCTCGTAAATCAGTGAGATCTAGTGTTTCTGTACGCCGTGTGCTAGCACACAGCTCCATACATTCCATCCGGCATTCGGAACATATTTGATTGAACTGAAAATCATGTCACACATCTACCAAAATATTATCTTCCAGGAAATCTTAAAGTCTACAATTCTCATATCCAATCAAAGAGCAAGGATGCATTCACCTTTCATAGGCCCATGTTTAGCTGGGTTGAAATGCATGCGATTATGTTCCATAAATTGAGTTTGCCATAGTTTATGCTTCATTGTCACTGCTGTTATGATTTGAAGCATTACATTGTTAAGTTGGGTTTCACATTGAGGATGCCTATTTACCTCATATTTAAATGAGCTGTTAAATCCATGGAAAATACTGGATTTGTAAGCCAGTACTCACGTTCAAGTTCTGACACAGATTTTGGATTTGATAACATAAACAGCTTGATAGCCCTTAACACATTAAACAGTCTTTTCAACATTTGGCCTTGGCTGAGCCTTCTTAGTTCTAGAAAGTAAATGAAGTTGCCATAGTCAGTGACAGCCCCCTTTAAAAAAATATCTGTGTGTGTGTATGCACATACATGTATGTAACAGTAGGTGTGCATACATCTCAGTGCATATATGGAGGACAGAGGATAACCTCAGGTATTGGTCCTTGTCTTTCTTCCATCTTGCTTGAGAAAGGGTTTCTCATCAACTGCCACTGAGTATGTCAGGCTAGCTGGGCCTGAGAATTCTCAGCTATTCCCTCATCTTTGGCTCCTCTCCCGTCAATGAAGTTCATTCATGAGGTCATTAAGAGTGTATACAATATTTGATGGTGTCAATTGGATTTACTGCAGTTGGAAAATATCACCCTAGTAACTGGAATACACAGAAAAATTGAAGTCATACATGCACACAAACAGTGAGAGCGTGCATGCATTTAATTTTGTGGGATGGATTGACAGGACATTGTAATCTTCAAAGGGCGTACTACAGAACCTGTCCAATCAAGTTGCAGGAAAGGAAAGGGAAGGGAAGGGGAGAGGAGGGGAGGGGAGAGGAGGAAAGGGAAGAGAAGGGGAGGGGAGGAAAGGGATGGGAAGGGGAGGAAAAGGAAGGAAATAGAAATAAAGAAAAAAACAAATGAAAGAAGTAAGGAAGTCACTGAAATCTCACATGGCCTTGAACAAATTTGTGATTTTTTTTGAGTGATATTTATAATCATTTCTGGGCTGCATGCAATATATGGGCCATGGGCTGGACCCCCATGTTTTAGAGTACAATAAATTCTCAAAATGTTTGCTTTTAACCTAACAGTGTTTTTTTAAATCAATTTACTTCTTTTAAGTTCAAATTTTTATATCTTGTTTGTGAAT